ATAACGACTAGAAAATTCCTCGACTTTTCGGTTATCGTCTATTTCCTGTTGTTTGTGAATCAGCCCGCTGCGCAACTGTTTAAACCATTTGTTTAGAAACAGCCACGCAGTGGCCTCAGCACAAAATTTCCGTATTAGGCACGGGTGGTGCACGTTGCCCCCATATCTTACAACTTCCCGTCTGCATGTCTAATTCCGATTTTTTGGTTATTTCCCTTATCTGCCGTCTCACCCAGGGTGACCACGTTGCACGAGCGGTGGGCCGAATTTGTGGTGCCAACGGTCGAGTCCGACTCTCCATTGAGAATGCCACGCGGACGCGTATCGTAGTTGCTGATCAAACCATCCATATCCTCGGCAGCAATGAACGGATAGCTGTTGCCCGCAAGGCCATCTGCAATCTCATTATCGGCTCTCCGCCGAGTAAGATCTTTGGTCGCATCCAAACTCAAGCCGCTCGACTGGACTCCACATTTTAAACCGCCTCACACTGGTCGCCTCCTGTTATCTGGCACCCGTTTATTTGTGATGACCATATTTTTGACGGCTTTCATTGCTCTTAAAGATGACTTGCTCGATCTTTGAGTATCTGGCATGCACTTATGAATTTGGATAAATTTTTGCGGCATTGCTCCATGCCTGCATGATGTGTATATTCTAGAGGTATTTAAATATCCTAAGGAAAAAAAAAAACGTTTCTTCACATACTATCATGTAGTGAAAAGACAACGAATCAGCTGCTGGGACAGTATTTTTATTCGCCTGATGTTTCGACATCCATCGCGGATTAATCACCAGAAACATTAGCAGAAATGGGTACAGCTACTGTTTTCTGCTAACGTCTCTAATGATGAATCCGTGACGGATGTCAAGACATCAGGCGAATAAAAGTACTGTCCCAGCTATTGAGTCATCTTCTTCTCAATTACTTGCTGGGAATCGCATGTTCGCTTGTATTGGCATATCATGTAGTGGAAGGCATCGACTTCTGCTTCATGTTTAAACCATACTTTACTACATACTTTATTGTGGCCCACTTGTAAACCAGGCGAATGGCAACTCGAAGTGAAAATATAGCGAAATCTATACTACTATCGCACCAAAAGTAACTTATTATTCTGAGTTTAATTATATCGATCCAGGCCATGCGCCTCAACTGCAGGATTTAGGCGGTTTGGAAGGCGGCATATTAATTAAATGCGTGAATGTCACTTATCATGCTTATAGTTTCTATTGTTTATAATGCCGTACTGCATTGCTTTATGTTATACCGTTGCGGGGTTTGTCTTGTAATTGTAGCCCGTTCCAAATGTTTTAACCGCTATGAGCTGCAATGACTTCGAACCGTCTTCTGACCGCATAATGTAGCTGGTCGAGGACTTTGGTGGCGATATATGGTAGTTTTGTGTTTCATATGTAGTATAATAAATAAATGGTATATTTAAGGGCCAAGGGCCCATTCATTACTATGTGATCG